AAAAAAACAAACAAAAACAACCCCTCCCCCACTCCCGGCATTTACCTGCAGTCCGGCTGTGTTTGGCTGTGGGGGTCCTGCCCGCACAATGCAGGGCAGGCTGACCGCCTCAGCGTGGGCCCTGCTGCCCTTCCGCTGTCCTGTGCTGCCCGGGGCGCTCTGCCAGGAGACCCCCCCACCCTGCTTCTCAGGTAAGCAGAGGCTTTGTTTTTTTTGTTTTTTTTTTTAAACGTGATGGTGCCTGGGGTTGTGGGGGTAGCCAAGGGGGCCTGGGGGTGAGGATGGGTGGGGCGGGTGGGGCACCCTTGGGGGGGTCGGGAGAAGCAGGCAGTGGGGCTGAGTGGGGCAGCCATTGAGGGGGCTGCAGCAACTGGTAGGGGATGGGGCCAGGTGGGGCAGCAATTGGGGTGCTGAGGTGGGGCATGTGGGCCATGCAAGGGGGGTGGTAGCCCCTGTGGGGGCCATTTGGCCCCCATTGGGGACCCATACCCATTGTGTGGGGGTTAGACCCCCTGTTGGGCCCTGACAGCAGCTGGCAAAGGATGGGGCCAGGTGAAGCAGCAATCGGGGGGCTGAGGTGGGGCATGTCGGCCTTGCAGGGGGGTGGTATCCCCTCCAGGGGCCATTTGGCCCCTTTTGGGGGGCTGAAACCCATGTTGGGGGGCTGTAACCCCATGTGTGTGGGCCATAGCTCTTGTGTGGGGGCCAAATCCCATGTTGTGGGGTCATAACCCCTGTTGGGGGGCTGTATCCCCTGTGTGGGAGCTGTATCCCCTGTTGGGGAGGCCTTAACCCCTCTGTGGGGGCCATAGCCCCTGTGAGAGGGCAGCAAAATATATATTCATGTATTCATGAATTCATGATATATGTATTTAGAGTTCACTTTCCTATTATGAGAAGAGACATGCTTTAACACTGTAGATATATCAATAAAACATTGCCCAACTGACCACTGTCTCTGTCTCACTCTCTTTCTGTCTTTATAGTGGTCTTTTGTTTTACTTGTGGAGGAACATGGATTTTGGGGTATTTTACGGAGTGACTTTGGGATTTTTTTATCAGGGATTTTTAGTTTTCCAATAGGGAATACCAGAATTTCTGCTAGGGGGGCCAGTGGCAGGACCCTGCCTGCTCAGAGCTGGCACCTTGGACCCATCTGGCTGTGGCTAACCTCCTGACGAAATGGGGCCAGGAGGACATGCTTTGACAGTTCAAAGCAGGCACCACACCCGGAACATCTTCCAGGTGATAGCTGCCCAGATGGCTGGGCAGGGGCACACATGGCAGTGGTGCCGTACAAAGGCCAACCCTGCAACCGCAGTCCCCTGGCAGCTGGCAGACTGCTGCAGTGGGTAGAGGGTGCAGGGAACTGTCAGTCACAGCTGCTTCAGCAGTCCGGCTGGCACAAGGGGTAGAGTCCCCAAGTACCAGTTGGCTGGGCCCTAGGAGCTCCTGAGAGCTAGTAGCCCTGAGCTACTTACCAGGGAAGCTTTTTATACTGCTGGGGACAGCACAACTGCTGACCCCAGGCTCTAGCTCCTCCTGGCTGAAGATCCAGGAGCCAGGCAGGGTTATTGTGCCTCAAGTGGCACAATTTGCTCCACAACAAAGTGCCCATCCGAGCGCTGAAGCAAAAGCCCCGGCTCAAATTTGCACCGCTTCTGTTTGATCTGCTGCAAGCGCATGCGCTTGCATGTGTGGACACACCCCTAAAGGCTTTGTTACATGGTAGTTTTGGGCAGCTCCTGGAACTCTTAACACCTACCTCATTTCGTCAGATAGCTTAGTGTTTGAAGCACTTGCTCTGAGTGCACAAGTCCTGAATTTCAAACTTTCTTCTAACGCAGACACTCATTTCCCACATTTCCAGCCTCTGCAAGGCACTGCACACATCCTTGCGCAGTAATTTGTTTGTATTTGGAATCCCCTACAGGCCCCACTAGTGCTAATTCAGCAGCAACCCTTCTCCTAAATGAGAGTGGCTACAGGAACAGGGAAGAGACATGCTGCTTCTAGTCTATGCAGCAGTTTGCTTTCAGCCCAATACCAGGTGTCCGGACTTCTCTCTCCTTTCAATGAAGGACAAATTTTTAATTTAATTTCCACTTATTTTATTTCTGGTTCCAAGTACTTTTCAAACAAAGCATGATCCCTGCTGTGAACTCCCAAATAAGGCAGAGAGACAGGTACATACAAATGTCTTTTACATTTATCTGTTAATTGTCATGTAGATTTACTGTAGGTTAAGAGCTAGACTTGTCACTTGACCCATCTAAAAATAGGGTAGACAAGCCTGCTGTAGATATTACTGACAGTGTTTGAAGTCCCTTCCACCCACTTTTATATATGCATATGGCCCATGACTAGGGCAAGCACTTTCACCCAGCATTATGCTCACCTTCACAAAGCTCTTGTGAAGCAAGATGTTTCACTCCCATTTTTACACATGGGAAAAAGGCACAGAAAGTAAAAGACCAGATCTTCACGAGCTGAGCCTCTCTCTAGGCCCTTTCAATAAGGTTGAGGTTCTCTCGTGGGCTTAGTTTGTTGGGTTCTGGGCTCCTCTGAAAGTCTGGCCACGTCTTTCATGCATATGAGAAAGATCAGCTTTTTTGAGAAAAGTCTGGCCTTGAGCACTTCTGGAAACCAAACCACACAATTTCTCAGGTCATCCAGGAAGACTGAAAGAGCCTATTTTCAAAGCCAGCTTCCCAGTCCAGTGCTCTAACCCATCATACCAGGCTGGCAGCCATTTCCAGAATATTTCCATACTGCACCTCACAATTCTGTCAGGCTGTTCCTTGGCAATGCCACTTATGAGGACAAGCACCGTCTCCAACAGGCCTCCAGTTCTGTACCATGAACAAGAGGACAATCATACATGAGACTCTTGGGAGATTAAGTTTAACTTTTCAGTTCCGGTAATGTTTTCTTGAAGATATCCCACAGACTAACTAAAAGGTAAAAATGGGGATGGGAGAGGTGCTATAAAAATTATGCATTTCCAGTGAGGCCAACACTGAAGATGCTCAGTACTCAACATGGAAGGCGGCCTGGATCATTAATGCTGGAAACACTCATCATTGAAGACACTGGCTTGATCTTATTTGGTGCTTATGGGACCATTAGATCTTGCTAGAACTTGCTTCTCCAGTTCCAGCAGCTTTTGATACAGCTTTTTGGCAGTTTCATCATCTACATCCATCTAGAAGAGAGTTGGTGAGCAGTAACTTAAGAGCATGGTCTCAAACAATAGCCAACAAGATACTACAACATGAAACCTTAAGTAGTAGTCAGAAGGGATCAGCTGCTTGAGGAGTGCTGACTGAACACCTTTATGCCAGGCACCTAGAAGGCTGTAGCTGCAACCCCAGCAGCAGAGGACTGGTACCTTAATAGGATAAGAGGTAGCCCAAATAAAGGAAAGAGATGGCTTGTGGGGGCAAACAAGCATTTAGAATCCCCTTCCTGTTGGGGGAAGGAGAGATCCTCAAGCACTAGAATTAGTTACCAATGGGAAAAGTTAGTCTCTCTGCAAGTGGAAATGGCAGCACAAGCCATGAGGAGTTTGCAGGCGGATATGCTATTGAGCCCATGAACTCCTGTAGGACACCTGCAGTAGGTGTTGCAAGGATGCAAGTCTGAAGCCTGGGCATTCCAGCAGCCCTCACAGCTGCTAGTATCCTTTAGTTCACTCTGAAACCTTGGGTATGGGCAAATAAGTTACAGAGTTAGAAGGGAGTAGAGCTTCACCATGCATCACCTGCTTTGTGGAAGATGCCAAGAGAATCACAGAAGAACAGGATTGAAAGGAACCTCAGAATGTCATCTAGTCCAGACCCCTGCTCAAGGCAGGATCATCCTGTTTAAAAACCATCTAGGCAAGTGATTATTTCACATGTTCTCAAAAACTATGGAAACAACCCTCATGAACAACTACCAGGCAAAATGCCCCAAACCTCAAACACTTGCCACAGGTAAAGCAAGGGGATGAGGGCACTATTAGTGTCCCACCACTGCAAGGGCAACAAGTAGTTTGTTAAAAACATACAATTCTCTACAAGTGCCTGCCTGATCAGTTAGAAAGAATGCATGCTGTCATTCTGTTATTTAGTGGTTTGCATCCCATGTTGTAAGCTCTCTGGAATGAGAACATGCCAGGTCCATGTACTGCCTGGCACATCATGCTACTTTAGTGATGCAGAGAATGTGTAATCTCAAATTAACAATAAGCACCTTTGAGAAATGAAGGACAGAAGGGGTCTTTTCAGACCTTCCCAAAGAGAGACCGCAAAGTGGCAAGGAAACAAATATGCTGCCTCATTAGCAATGCAAAGGTACTAGTAGGTGAGGAAGGGGCCTTGTCTCCACCCAGTCTAAGGCAATGGTCTGAACATCACCTGAAAACCCTCCAGATGTGTGGGCTTTCCAGTGTTTGAAGGAAATGCTAACCTCTGTGCCCCAGGGTGTATTGAGCTAACGTGACCCAATTTAATAGAGGCAAATCCCTTTACTGCTCCATTAAGCTTCCATACCCTCTTGGGGCGCGTCCACACGAGTGCGCACGTGCCTCTTGCCCTGCCCTTATACTGCTGGCCCCAGGCTCTAGCTCCCCCTGGCTGAAGATCTGGGAAGAGCCAGACAGGGTTATTGTGCCCCAAGTACACAATTTGCTTCACAACAAAATGCATGTCCAAGCACGTGCGCTGAAGCAAAAAGCCCCAGCTCAAATTTGCACCGCTTCTATTTGAGCTGCTACAAGCACACATGCTTGCATGTGTGGACGCACCCTTGAAGACCAATTCTCTTCAATCCCAAACTTGGTATCTTAGATGCAAAGGCATAAGGCCTACTGAGAAGGGCAAAGGGGAAGCAACATTCCAAGCCTCTGGCTGGCAGGACCTCACCCACCCAGCACTGTGCTGCTGGTGTAGGAGCATGGAATTCATCCTGCATCCCACTGTGACTGGCATCTGAGCAGAGCTCTCATAAAGTAGCTTCAAGAACAAAGACAAAAGAAACCAGTCCATTGTGATTTTCAGTCAGGCGTCAACTAAACCCTCTCCCTACAACAGTCAGTGTTGCATTTACCTTTCTGGGCTCCACATAGTTATTCCCCGCAAAAGTAGTACAGCTGTGATATTTCATTAGTCCATCCAGTGACTCAGGCTTTTGCTTGAACAGCCATATCTGGAAAGAGTAGCATAAATTTGTGGTTAGAGTCCAGCCTGTCCCAACAGCCATGCTAGTAAAACCCTAGGCAGCCCACTAGCACACAAAGGGAAAATGATCCCATTACACACTACTCCCAATTCTCACATGATCTGAGCGAGACAGACTACCCAGTTTCTCACATCAGGTCCTTGACCAAGGCAGCGGGAGCATGGACTATGCTGATCCCAACACTATGCACACGCAAAGGCTTCTGAAAGATGCTCTAGTTTTCAGCACAAGTGGCTTCTTATTCCCAGTCACTGCAGAAGTCCCTAGGTGAAATTCTATGGCCTGTATTACAAACCACTACTCTAATCACATGCAAAAGAGGCATTCTGGCCTGGAGTCCATACATGCCAGCCATTGGTAGAGTAAGACCAGACATTTATTTCATAAGTGAGGGTAAGCTCTGGGAAAGAAGGGCTCTCTGAAGTGCTTTATTTGTGGTGGGCGAGGAAAACATGGGTGGAGGTGGGGGGGGTGCTAAAACTGCTCTGCTGGGAAAACCTTGTCCAACTTGGCACCATGGCACTCTGAGTAACCATTTAGTGGGATGAGCAGCAGTGCTTCCACCATTCATCTGCAAAGGAGACATCCGTCAGCACGTGGTGCCCAGGAACTGGGGCACTTGGGAGGAAACCCCCACTTCTCTTATTTGCAGCCTATAACTGAAGTCACAAACTGAATACGTACGTGGGCTTCAGATCCATTGTACGGTGTTAGTGTGTAAGTCTTGGTGAACAAACGTATCTGAGAGAGACAGAGAGAAAAGAAAAGGCTATTAAGCCTGCTAGGCCCAGAGAGAGCTACCTGGGGCAGATGGCTGGGCTGCCTGTATATGAAATGTGGAAAGCTAAGAGCAGAGAAGAAAAGCAGGACCACAAAGGGACATGGCATGGACAGGAAGAAAGGAAGATGGCGGTAGTGGGGAAAGGACAGTATGTGAAGAAGCTGTTTCCCCCCCACAAAGGTGCAGAGTAAGCTTTGAAAGAAAATGATGTCAGAAACCTGGAAACTTCAGTGCTAAGTTGAGATCCCTTGCAAAGCTTTGTGAAGGTGTAAAACAATTAACTTCAGAGAAGCTTTTCAAAGGCACAAGTAGCTGGCCTTACTGTGCTGCCACTGGGGGCTCTGCCATACACCAGAGCTAAATATTTTTCAAAATCCCAAATTAAGTACATCAAGCATTGCTCCCACTTATAATTGCCTCTGCTTTGGGCTGCCTGATGTTAGCTCTGTTTGCCTGGCACCTGTAGTACTGAAAACACCAGCCCAGGACAATTCTAACCACAAGGCTCTTGGAAATAAACCAAGAATTTCAGAGTTATTAGACTCACTAGCCATAGGATGGGCATAAGCAGCTTCCAGAAGAGAGATGGCATAATTCCATATGTCAAGTTAGTTGTCACGATGCCTGGACAAACGACACTGGAATACAGATTCTGCAAGAGAAAGAGGGAGGAGACAAACAGACCACAATATTACATGGAGTGACAAAGTGGCTCACCCCTTCTAGACACCTCACCATGCAGAATGGAAAGGTGTCTTGACCTGAGGTGATAAAACTTCCACCAAGATCACGCAGACTAGCACCGAGAAAGGGAAATGGACAATTACTGTAGCATTTTGGGCCCATGGTAGACTCTCAGGCAAGAGCTGGAGTCATCTCATGTGGGATGCTGACCAGCTCCCATGCTAATTACACCTGGTGTTTATGCCCCATCTGAAGTAACTGAATGGGCTAAGAATTCTTAAATTGGACTGTAAAGAAAGTCTGACTGTAAAGCCTCGTAGTGGAAGACTTAAGAGGAAGCAGCCAGTAGATTGCAGAGCATGTGGCATCAGCTCCTGTGGTCAAAGACACTTGAGGAGCTCTGCTGCTGTGTTCTGTACTGGTTTTCAAAGAGTAACTGTGCACACTAGATCCAAGGTCATGATAACGGGGGACAGAGCACAGCAAGATCAAGATCTTAAAGCAGAGCTGTCCAACTTCTGAGCAAACCACCTTCCCCCAGCCATTGCATGAGATCCCCCTGCTACCCAGGCTGCACAGCTCCACCCCCAAGGGTGGAGGTAGGAAACAGCAGCTGGATGAGGGAGAAGCCCAGAGATCTTGGCATCAGCAAGTGGTGTGGTGGAGGGGGGTGGTGGCTGGGTGGGAGCTCACAAACTACAAATTAACTCCTCATGGCCTGAATATGGCCTGTGGGCCAGGAGTTGGAAAACTACGCCTTAAAACAAAGTTACAGCCACAACCAACAACCTTTACTTATGGATGAAATTTTTCTGCCAACATTTCTTCTCAAATGGCAAACCCCACAAATAGATAAGACTTCCACCAAGTATACCCATCACATCCTGCCAACCACAGCTCTAGGTGAATCTCAGCCTAGAGAAGCTTTCATATTCCCTAGACCATAAACCAAAGAACATTTCTGTATCATCATACTAACCTTACTTATGAGCATGACACATTAGTATAAAAGGCCCATTTGCCTTTTTCTGTCAATGTGTCAAGCAGTCAAAAAGAAGTGGGTCTTCAGTGAGGCAACTGCCTCCAATCCCACCCATTTCTCTCCCCCACCCCAGATTTTAACCATGCATGGACCTGGCACTGCCCATCCATCCTGTGAGGCAAAAATGTTGGGCACCACTGCATTACAGGGATGCCCCCATACCTGCTTATTAAAATGCCTGTTCAGGGCCAAACTTGTGAGGTCAGTGGCATACTTGGAAGAACTGTATGCCTCTTTGCCTTTCTTGTGCTGGTAGTCATCAAGGCTAAAAGCAGACCTCATGGCATTGGAGGAAGAGGTCCAAATGAGCATAGATGGCTTTTCAGAGCAACGTAGCAGAGGCTCCAGCTGGCGAACCTGTGAAGGCAAGAGTGTTGCAGCTTTCAGCTAGTACCTTGTTATGCACGAATACCTGAACTATACCCGATTGAAAACTCTTACCCTATACAAGCCCACTTCTCAGTAACACTAATATGGAGCGCATGTCTAAGCTAACAACCATGTAATTTTGTACACAAGGAGAATTGCCTCACAGGGATGTCTCACCCAGAATCAAGCCAATAGCATTTTAACACATCTGGCTGTATTCTGGGTATTACAAAACCATGACCACCTACCTAGGGTGGCAGCTGGAAAAAAAATGCATTTTTGCATCTTCTCAAAGCCAGTAAGTCAGGCTGTTAAACTTACCTCAGTCTGCTAGTTGGACAAAGTCATCCTGAATGTATCTGAACTTTGTAATAGCTTGCATGTCACTCATATTGTTAAAATTACTCTTGGGAAATATAGCAGGACAGGCAAAAATACAGAGATGGAAGGACAAGGCTTTGTGTCTCACCGGTCTTGGCCACTACCCTTTCATCCAGCCACACACTGGACTGCATCTGGGTGTAGCAGTGTTTAAACTGGAGTAGTAAAAACCAACTCATTCATGCCTACTTCACCCAAAACTACATATACCAATGGAAAATTGGGGCCGAGCCTCAGCAACAACTTTACCAAGACAAAATGTCCAAAGAGGTTGGTTTCAAACACTTCCTGCAAGCCATCCACAGTAACCTGGTCAACTTGATGAAGCAGCCCCTCTGCAGTGCTCAGCATGTGGACTGCCTTCCTGCAATGTAAGAACAGGACAATGTGGGCAAGGCTGTGGAAAATAAAAGTTCCTCTTCCTTCAGGAAAAAACTTCAACCCAATGGTCAGTATATTCCCTCTTATTTGGCTGGATATATTTGTGAAGCTTCCATTTTACAAGTTGTTAGCTGCACCCATCTAGTTAATGCAGCATAAGTTGTACTTGGAGACAAGGCCTTACTCGCTGTTCTACCACCAATTTGCATTCAACAGGACTTCAGTACTTGCCTTTTCTTTCCCTTTATCTCTTCACTGCTGTTTACAGCTACATGTGCACAAGATAGCAGCTTTGGTGCCATTCTATACCTCTCTCCTTAAACTTCCATATTTACATTATTCTTGCCATTTTCATTGCGCCATTAGCTGAATTCATTTGTTTCTATATCACCTTTTGCCCTGACTGCCACAGTCTTCTCGCTGGCTTCAACTCATATCACCTCCTCCAAACCCATTTAAAAAGTTACCCACCTGACCACCTTTCATTTCTTTCTTCCATTCTTCCCTCTGTATGTTTTCCCCCCACACTCTCCAACTCAGGCCCTGGTAATCCCTGTCCAAAACAATCTTTGTGGGTGTCTAAAAGCTTTAGCTTTCTGCCCAGATGAACAAAGATGCAAGTTACTCATCTAACCTACTGCGTGATCTTGCTGGTTCTTCTTGTTAATTTTAATGAGTTTGGCAAGCCTTCCTCTTCTGTCTTACTCTCAACTGTAAACTTTTCTGGACAGAAGCGTCTTTGGAGAACACGATGCACATTTGTGACTCAGAAAGTAATGATGATAGTGGAAAGAATGGGTTCGTTATATAACCACTAGCTAACTATTATAATAAAAGTCACCTCATGATCTTGGCCACCTAAGATCCAAGACTGGCTATTGAACAGGATCCATGCCATTCCCCCAACTCCATTCTTCCCTCTCCTCCTTTCAACAACAAAGCCACAGAAACAAAACAAAACAAAAAAATCTGTTACTTAAGGATGATGTCTTATACCTAGAAAATAAGCCTGAGATAAAGGCGTTGAAACTAATATGTGGATTTGGCATGATCCCTGCATTCAGGTAGATGTAATCCAGGTACTGAAACCTACAAAAATGAGAGAGAGAGAGAGAGAGAGAGAGAGAAATACAATTAATTTATGACTGAGCAAGGCTAACTAATCCTATATTCTGAGGTTCAAGGAAGCTTTGAAATCACAAAGATGCTAGGTGATTAACTAGTGGACCAGAAACAGAAGCCTGGAATCCAGATTTACTTTCCCTTGCTTCTCAGAGTACATTGCTTCAGAGTTTCCAATACAGAAGGACTAACACCATAACATTCAAGCCTGAATACAAAAGTTTCACAGTGTATGGGTAACTAGGGGTCAGGTGAAAGAAGTTTTGAATATTAAACTAACTGATGTCCCACAAGTAAATTGCTTTCTAACACTCAAGTTCTACAAATTCCCTATGTCTGGTGGAAGCTTAGGTTCATCCAGTGGGACTTTGACATTTAAGTCTGTGAGGCTTTTTTTGAAAAAAAAATCTCAGTCCAAACACTGAAACCACAACAGCTCTACTCTTGCTCGTTTCAGCTGAAGAACAAAGCAGTCTGCAAATCAGCGGTAGCTACCCCTAGTTAAATAGCCCGGCATTTTCATAACCAGGTGAGGAACCCAGTGGCCAGTGATGTTTTCCTGCTGCTCTCACCATCTTTGGAGGAGCGGGGAGCAGGCTGCCCACCCCTCTCAGAGGAAGGGTAGATAAATAAATGTGGCACAAACTAGTGTTTTCACTATTTCAACAAAACATTTGAAACCCAAAGTGGGACAGGTTGGATTAAGACAAGAGTGCCCAGAAAGCCAAGTCTTGTGCCATCAACACCAAGACAAAAGACAAGCCCACGACCTCCCCTCTGGAGACCCACCAGGGAGGGACTGCGAGCGTTTCAGGCTTGGGAGGATCTGAAGAGCATTTCTGGACTGTGGTTAGGGAAGGTTCCCACGGCACTTGGAGGCAAAATCAGCTGCAGCAAGGTCGGAGCCACTCCTGCACTTTGTAAAGCACAACGCCTGCAGCACCTGCAGGCCTCCAAGTCCGGAGGCAGGCCCAGCACGGACGCCCGGCAGCCTTGCAGCTCCCCGTCTCCCTCATGCCCCAGACCAGGCACGTGAAGAGACCAGAGCAGCAACCGCCAAGCCGAACAAAAGTTGTTTAAGGGGCTC